TGGGGAAGCGGTTTCCCACACCCCGAAAGCCGAAGGTCAAGCCACAGATAGCGTGAAAATATCTTTAGTATTTACCCGTTAATAATGTGTTGGTGTACTGGCCTTATCGGCAAACGTTGTTTCTTAGTTTGACTTGCCTGTACCACTTGTGCAAACACGTTCTTCCTTTCCTCTTCTTCTCTTCTTCTCAGTAACACAACAATAACAGGAGCAGCTCTTTTCTTTGCCTTGGTACCTTTGGTATTCTTTTTGGTACTCTATACTTCTGAAAAAACAACTTTAATTTTATACTTCACTCGAGTAACTTCTCTCATTGATGTTGTTGTTATTCGTAGAGAAAGTAAAAAGGAAAGAAATATATGTCCGCTAACCAGACTCTCGTGTTTTGTTTTAAATTAATTTTTGGTATTCTACACTGGTGGCAAATCCCTCTTTCCCCCATTCACACCCCTCATGGGTAGCAGTGGTGTTAACTGAAAGAAATTTCGAAAATAACCTTTCCTTCCAAATATCAAGTTAAGTGAGGAGAGATATGATGTATAAGAAAAAAAAGAAATGTTTTGATTTACATGTAAAGAAACCCAACCACGTAGCCTGTATATGTGTATAAAATCCAAGTGAGATGCCTTTTTTTCTTTTGCTTCTTTTTACATAAAAAACTTTGTATATTGAGATTTCACGCAACGCTGTCAATAATCATTTGTTTTTACTTTATTTTTCTAGTGAACCATGTCAATCTTTACAAAACAGAAGCAACACACAATAACTCTCACACACATATTACCTCTTTATTTATCCTTATTACTATTATTTTGCTATTCCTCACAATGCCGGTTCGCCTCCTCTTCTTCCACAACTTTACCAATAAAAAAAAAAGAAACGCACCACCCCATGGGAGGCAGAGACCCAAAACCAGAGCGCAACGCGCGGTGCCGCAAACAAAAGCGCAGACACCACCAGCACATGTAGAAAACACAAATCACGACGGCAAAAACCAGATGGCGCGCCTGGCACTCCCAAAAAAAAATACGAGGGTGGGGGCCCAACCCCGCCACACGGACAAGTCCGGGAGGACCCGGGGCACCGCCCAACCCCACCAAGGCGGAGCAGCACAACGACACAGAGGCCACGAACGACCAAAAGAAGAATAACAACTAGTAGAACGCCAAAATAGCAG